TGAGGGTCCGCTGTAATCTGCCCCTCCCCTGCCTGTGGCACCCCGGAGTCACGCAAAGTTACAGCAGGATAGGAGCCAGGGCACCCGTGCAGGAGGGACCAGGTCGACCACCCCCAGTCTGGAACCGGGAAGGGAGAAAATGGTGATGCCACATTAAACACCCCCCAGACAGCTGTAGGAAAGGAGACTATTCCGTGCTGCTCCCGGACAGAAGAAATGGCTTGCAGGAGCAGAAGGAAAGTTTAGGCCAAAGGCACGGAGCTGCGCACGGCTGCGCTGCTGGGGGGGATGTGGGACCGAAGGGCAACCACGGGGGACCATTAGTAACAGGACGGATCAGTGGGATGAAGGTGCAGCTGGAGGTGTTTGATGCACTGCCGTATGGAACGGCAGCCACAGCATCAATCTCAGAGTGCTGGAGCTGGGGGTATTCCAGGGGAATCCCCCAGCCTCGCTTCCCCACTACTGATGGATCAGAAACTGCTGGACACATACGTGTTTTTCTACAAGACACTGCGATGAATGATGGCTCCTCTCCATGGCCCAGACCTACGCTGGTTCCAGCCCACTCTCGGGTGTGTACACTCTTATCTGTCTCAGACAGCAGCTTTGTCCTTGTAGGAATTGGATGGAAATTCCTACAAGGACTTAGTGCCAACATAAGGCTGCCCTGGTCTGGAAAACAGGGATTTGCAGGAAGAAGTTAAGCCAAGTTTAACCGATGCCAGTTAAAAGCCTGTATTTAATGCAGAGACATTTAAGCCAGTTCAGTTCAGCCTGTGACATGCTGCGTGTGCCAGCAGGGTGTAAAGATGCAAAGCCCAAGTCACTGACCAGGGATATCTGAACAGGAGAATTTTTGATTCTTAAATGCGAAGCCATTAGCCACCAGTCCCACGTACTGAGCAGACCAAGCCCACCCTTCTGAGGACACCCTGGAGCAGCGTGCAGGAACCCACACAATAGTTTGGCCTCCGGGTAGCATATGCAAATGTATCACTTACCATTAGGAACCAGAAGAATACTTTTGACAATGTTTTTCAGGGGGCCCAAGCTGATTTTATTCATGGTGGCAAAGTCTGAGAGCTGAGTCAGAAACCTTTCTACCTGCTCAAGAGGAATACACAATCTTATCTCTGCATGTCTCTCACCAGGGAGCTGCATTCACCGACTTGTGCACCACACTCCTTACCTCCTTGGGCTCTGTTAGGAAGCGGAAGAGCACTTCAGTCAGCTCTGAGAATTGCTGTGAAGAAACAGGACCGTGTTACGCAGTCGGGCATCAACACACATCATTTCTCAGCACCTCACCACCCCCATCATCACCACGACTAGGTGGTGATACGCCACCTTGACGCAGCCCCATGGGTCCCCAGTAGGTTGGGCCCAGCGCTTGACCTCCCGTGCTGAAAAGGCACCCCAGTCCTCGGCATTACAAGATGCCTACGGATGGGATTTTCTCATGGATGCTTTGCAGAGACTCCCAAAGGGTTTGTGCAGCTGGTAGCTGGCACTGCACAAGGCTTTTGTGACTCTTGGCTAATCGGAAGCTGCTGTTCTACCCTGTGTAACCCAAAAACTGAGTAGGAAAAGATGCAAACATCTACTCTCGCGTTTCACAAACCCCATGGGGTAACCAGATTAGCTTGGGAAAGGAAAATAACTGGTTAAAGGTCTAGTTGCTGCCTTCAGCTTCTGAGCGTGCAGCTGGCAGGGCTGGAGAGCCCCGAGGGCAGAGGATCACCACCCCCCTCCTCTGCCAGCACCAGCGCTGGCTGTGACCTCCTGGGTATGGCTGGCTGGTCTGCTGCTGCAGTGGCTCGCCCTGTCCCACCCCTGTCGTCAGCCATGGCACGGAGATGGCACCAGGCTGTTAGCCACCGTCCTGGCAAGCTGAGCTAAAAAAGCCTCAGCTCTTTCGTTAGCTTCAGCGTGAGCTGACCCAGCTTCCGAGAGGCGGCTGCACGCCCGGTGTGACAGTGACCCCGGGGCACCGACTGGGGACAGGAGGGTGGTAGCAATCGCCACCCGAATGTGCAGTCCCAGCGAGACGCACCCGTGCTCGACAGGACCCTGCTGCCCACGCAGGGCACGACGGGAGCCCTTCTGTCACCCCGAATGCCTCGCAGCCTGAGAAAGAAGCCTATGTGGGGCTCGCCCGGCCAGGAGCCTGAGCACAGGGCCATGCTCTGCAGCCCTGCCCCGGACACCACAAAACGCGGTTCCCTTCTGGAGTGGGCTGGGACCTGGCAGCGGCCCTGGCACCGGGACCGGGAGGCCTG